ATTCAGGATGACTCGAGTGAACAACTTGTAGATGACAGACAATAGGCAGATCGGGCGATAGTTGCCAATGTCATGGATGTCTCCCTTCTTGAACAGTAGTACGGTCCTGCTGGTTTTCCATTGGGACGGAACCTTGCATTCAGACAGGTAGCGAGTGAAGAGCCGAGCCAGTGTATTTTAAAAAGAAAAAAAAGAATACAGAGCTTCTGAATGATCTGGGAATTCCTCGTCTGGGCACGGACTCGAAGAAAAGGAAATGGGATTTTGATGCTATAGGTGTGTCTTCACATTTATCTCAGCATTATTGATAATAGTCAAGATGGGAAAAAAAAACTCAGAAGGGTATCATGGAGTAAATGAACTAAAAGGATCTGGTCTGGGTGCTCAATGGCAGATCAGTCAGTCGTGAGAAAGGAGATTATCCTGACACTGGGAACATTCTGGACCACAAGCTAAAAACTCAACCAGAGAGGGGCCAGAACCATAGTACAGTGGGTAGGGCACTTGTCTTGCACTCAGTCGATCTGGGTTCAAACCCCATCCTGCATGGTCCCCTGATCACTGCTATGAGTAATTCCTGAGAGTAGAACCAGGTAACCCCTGCGCATCTCCAGGTGTCCAAAAACATCAACCTGAGAACAAATACTATATGCAAACATGCACCTGTGGAATCTAAAAATTCAAACCAAACCTACGAAAAAAATAAATAAACAGAGGGGAAACAGTGATTATCAAGATGTGGGAAGTGAGGAGATAAGATCGATGAGGTTGGGGGGTCAGAGCAATAGCACTGCAGGTAGGGAATTTTTCTTGCACCCGGCCAGCCCGGATTTAATCTCTGGCATCCCATATATTCCCCGAGCAATGCCAGGAGTAATTCCTGAGTGCAGAGCCCAGGAGAATCCCCTAAGCATCAATAGATGTGACCCACATAGCACTGTAGCACTGTCCTCCCGTTATTTATAGATTTGCTCAAATGGGCACCAGTAACGTCTCTATTGTGAGACTTGTTGTTACTGTGTTTGGCATATCAAATATGTCACAGGTAGCTTGCCAGGCTTTGCTGTGCAGGCGGGATACTCTTGGTAGCTTGCCGGGCTCTCTAAGAGGGGCGGAGGAATCGAACCCGGGTCAGCCGCGTGCAAGGCAAACGCTAAAAAAAATAGTGATAATAAAATTTAAAAATAAAAAATGATGAAGTTGAAGGGAACAAATTTGGTACAAGTAGTTTACAAGTCAAAGAACTACCTACGCACAATATGATGACTACAGACAATAATGCTGTACTGAAATGATATAATGTAATAAATATTGTTCTATGATAATCATAAAAATGTTTCTTCATTTCATTTCATTTCATCATCCTGTTATTCGTCGATTGCCTCGAGCAGGCCCCAGTAACGTCTCTTTCATCCTAGCCCTGAGATTATATTCAAGGCTCTTTAGGAGAATGAGACCCATCATTGTTACTGGTATTTGGCATATTTGGTACGCCACGGGGAGTTTGCCAGACTCTGCCCTGTGGGCAGGCTACATTCGATAGCCTGCAAGTTTGTCCAAAGTAGGAATGAGACAATAAGATGTCATAAAAAAAAGTTCTGATAAGATGTCGCACGGCCGCAAATGCGGCCGTGCGGTTCCGGGATCTGGATTTTATAGTCTCTGAGTCTTGGCCGCTGATGGGATTACACGGCGCCAAGGGGCCAGGTGGTGGGTGTGACCCCCGCCTACTGGAATTTGGAGGATCTGGGTGGAGGATGCTCGACTCCAATCTGAGTAGGCTTGGAGGTCTCGGCCCCGGAACCCGCGTGGCTTTGTCCCTCTGCCAGTACCTTCATGTGTGCGGAGAGTGGTCTCAGCATGGTGGTGGCTGGTCCTGGAGGTCTGCAGACAATAATGCTGTACTGAAATGATATAATGTAATAAATATTGTTCGATGATAATCATAAAAATGTATTGAATAATAAATAAAAAACCTTAATTTATTTAAAAAGTATAATGTGGAAGTTATAAATATTGTTATAAATACTGATGTTGCAATATTAATAATTAAAAAATGAAAGACTATCTCTCTTTGAATATTAATGCCTTCCAAAAGCATATTAAACTTAGGGAGGATAAAAGGGGTAATCCCATGTGGCTGCTGGCCCAGGGAAATTTGGGACTCCAGCCACGAATCTTGACAGTTGGAATCAAACTACTTATACAATTTCTGCTGATTTTTAAAATGTTTTTGGGTCCTGTCCAGCAGTGCCCAGGGACTATTTCTACCTCTGTGGTGAGGAATGATACATCGTGAGTTCAGGATTTAGTACATCACTCAGGGGGATCAAACCAGGGTCTAAAGTTGCAAGTCCAGCATCCTACCTCCTCTCTCACTAAGGCCCAATTTCTGCCAATTTTAAGGGACATTTATCTATATATAAGAGCCCAGGAAGTGGGGTGATTGATGAGAAGTGGACCTAATCACATCAGTGTACCATTTCATCATCCAAGGTGGAGACTGGCTTCAGCATCCCTTTACCATAAGGACTTATGGCCGCCATAGACATCCAGACTCCCCCTGGTCCCAAAGGTCCCTGAAGTGTAGAATCACTTTGAGTGGTTTCTTTAACCTGCGTGCAGACCAGACAAGCTCTTGGCTACTCACATTTCTTGGTGGTCTTGAATTTGCCCCCTCTGCCCCATTTAGACCATGTTGGCTCTCCCCACTCTCGCAGCTGAGGGGCCCACTCATTCTCTAGACTTTCACTCCAGTCCTTTTCCATGTGACCTCAACTCATCCAGGCTGCAGACGTGATGAGTCACCCATCTGAGCTGCCATGCTAAGGATCAAAACCACATTTTATCCATAACCAGGAGGAAGACATGAGAAAAGAGGACAGGCGTGAAGTGAAAAAGAAAGTTACTTGGAAAAGTTCATTTGTCAGGCAATGTACTGCAGATTCTGGAATGCTGTTCCCTTCAGTCTCATTTCATTAAAATTTGATGAGGAAAAAACCAATCCCAGTCCATGTTGAATGATGTTAGCCTTAGACCCATACTCCTTAAAGTTACAGTTTCCGCATCCTGCTCACTTTCTATGCAGGAATTTAACTAGAATGGACTTATTCAAGATCTAACCATTAGGTGGCACCAGTGGTTCAAAACAGTTCCCTTCAACAAGGAAAAGATGAATGAGTGGTCGGTGGGGTTAGAAAGCTGGGGGAATCATAATTTGATATGTATACAAGAATTCCTGTGAAATGCAGGATTTGGTCACACTGAAAGTCATGCAAAAATTAATTTTTCTAGAATTAGAAAAGTGACTCATTTCGGGGCTGGAACAATAGCACAGCGGGTAGGGCATTTGCCTTGCACACGGCCGACCCAGGTTCGATTCCCAGCATCCCATATGGTCCCCCGAGCACCGCCAGAAGAGATTCCTGAGTGCATGAACCAGGAGTAACTCCTGTGCATCGCCGGGTGTGACCCAAAAAAGCAAAACAAAACAAAACAAACCAAAAAAAGTGACTCATTTCATTTCTTCTCCTTGGTTTATATTCCCAGAACATTTTCAGTTCTTTTACACTTTACAAGATTTCTATATTTAAAATTGGTTTGAGAACCCCGCCCCATGTTGCTTTCCTTAGCAGTGAACCAATTTACGTTCCCACAAAAGTTCCCTTTTCTCCACTCCTTCACCTGCACTTGTTGTTTCTTGTCTTTCTCATTTGCCTTTTTGTTTTTCAGACTTTAAGCATTTTTAAATTCTTTTTTAAAAATTACTATTGAATCACCATGAGATACATAGTTACAAAGTTGTTCATGACTTGGTTTCAGTCATATAATGTTCCAACACCCATCCCGTCACCAGCGTACCAGCCTGTATGGCAAGCACTTTTCCTCTCTTCCTCCTCCTCCTCCTCCTCCTCCTCCTCCTCCTCCTCCTCCTTCTCCTCCTCCTCCTCCTTCTGCTGCTGCTTCTTCTGCTGCTGCTTCTGCTTCTCTCTCTCTCTCTCTCTCTCTCTCTCTCTCTCTCTCTCTCTCTCTCTTTCTCTCCCTCCCTCCCTCCCTCCCTCTCCCTCTCTCTCCTTTTGAGCATTATGGCTTTGCTTGCCTATTTATATTTGTGATTTACTACTGTAATGATAGTTTCATGCAGATATTGATCCGACACCACACCCACAGCCAGAGTACCTCCTTCTCTAGACCAAAATCCCAGAGACCTCCCCTTCAGACAATTCCACAACTCAGTTTCGGTCCAGCTCCCAGTTCTGTTGCCTCTAGCCATTCGTTCTATGGTAAGCAATAAGAAGATTTCTTGAAAAGGTAAGAATAGAAGTCCCATTGGTCCAGCGATGTGGAACTTTAAGTCCCCCACTCCACTGAGATCATTCCATACCCATCCCTTTCCTTCTGACTGACTTCATCCGGCGCAATACCCTCTAGTTTCATCCATGGTGGACAAACTGCATGATTCGGTTCTTTATTCGATGTGCTAAGTCTTCCATGCACCACAACTCACTGATACATTAATTCATCGCGAGGACCCCAGAACACAACAGCGACAACAACAACAACAAAATGAATAAGCAAAGAAATAAAAGTAGAGGGGCTCAGGACCCTGGGGGTCTGTGTTCTCCCCCCTGGCTGGGGGAGATTGGAGTTCACAAGGGACTGTCACAGTCAATGGAAGAAGAGCGTCCAGGGGACCCAGGGCAGAAAGATCACTGGGGTTTCAGTCTCCCGGAGACTGGACGACCCTCTCGACCCCCTTCTCCCCCCAGCCCCCCCCCCCCACTGGCCGGGAAGGCTCCTTCCAGCCGCTCGAGGGCCTGTCCCCCTCGGTCCCCGAGGCGTCTCACTCCCTGCTCCACCGATTTCTCTCCCGACCGCCCCCCTGAGCCTCCTCCCGCCTAGCCTCGGGGTGTCGGAGCCCCGGTTCCCGCTGTGCGCGTAGGTCGCACCGGGAGCGCGGGTGACCAGGGCCAGGTTCCCCCAGGAGGCCTCCCGGGGCTTGGGGGGCGCGGGCAGGGCGCAGCCGCACGCCCGGCTCGGCTTCCAGGGCCGCCCCCTCCGGCGGATCGGCGAGACCCTCTCCGGCCCGGATTCGGCGCCGCAGCCGAGGCATGGCCCGGGGGGCGCGCAGGGTGGCGGCGCCGGTGCTGGAGGCGCCCCCGGAGCATGAGCAGGTACGGGCGGGGGGCGCACGGCTGGCTGGGCCCCGAAGGGGTCGCCAGGCAGCCGCCCGGGGGAAGCCTATTTGCACCCCTCCCGCCCTCCGTCCCTTTCTCTTCCCTCCCTCCCACAGGCTCCCTTCCCAGCCGGCGCCTGCCCGGTCCTGCCCGGCCCGCGAATGCCCCCTCCGGGGCCTCATTTCTGCAGCTGGTTTGCAGACTCTGCCCCGGGCCCGCCAGCCCAGGAGAGTTTCGGGGTGGTGGGACATCTGGCTGGAGCATCCCCAAATCAGAGCATCCTTCTGGAGCTCCCTGCCCCCCCCCTCCCCCCCGAGCTTGGGTACCCGCAGACCACGTGGCCACCCGGGTACCCTGCGCCCCGCATCACACCCCCACCCCAGGCCCCCTGCCACTCCCTGCCGGTGGGCGGGACAAGATCGAGCCACTTCCGGGGTGGTGCCGACCCTGGTGGACCCCCGGGCCGCGGCTGTCCGCCTGCCCGTGCAGGAGGCGCTTTCCAAGGCCGCGATGCTCTGCGGACCCAGGCTGCCTACGGGGCCTCGCCAGGCCAGGAGCTGGGTTACTGGGGAACGCCCAGAAAAGCTCTGGAGGACTTTGGGGGGGATTCTTTATTTGGGGGGTCACACCGGTGATGCCCAGGGTTGACTCAGGCTCTGTGCTGAGGATCAGCCCTGGCAAGGCTCTTGGAAACAGATAGGGTGCCCAGGAGCAAACTGGGCGGGCCACCAGCAATGCAAGCCCCCTACACTGCACCACTGTACTATCTCTCTGGGCCCGCGATTTAGAGGATTCTCTCTCTCTCTCTCTCTCTCTCTCTCTCTCTCTCTCTCTCTCTCTCTCTCTCTCTCCTATTTCCTCTCTCCTCTCTCCCGCTTTTAGGGTCACGCCTGGCGATGCACAGGGGTTTCTCCTGGCTCTGCACTCAGGAATTATCCCTGGCTGTGCTTAGGGGACCATATGGGATGCTGGGAATTGAACCGGGGTCAGCCACATGCAAGGCACATGTCCTACCCTCTGTGCTAGCGTTCCAGCCTCTCTCTCTCTCTCTCTCTCTCTCTCTCTCTCTCTCTCTCTCTCCTCACACCTGCGGTGCTCAGGGGTTACCCCTGGCTCTGCACTCAGGATTCATTCCTGAAGGGCTGGGGGTTGGGGGTGCAGCAGGTTGAACCGGGTTAGCAGAGTGCAAAGAAGTGCCCTCCCCGCTGTACTATCTCTCTGAACCTTCGGTTTGGAAGATTTTTTAAGAAGCAAGAGGGCCTGGCAGATGACTCAAGGGTTGGAGCACAAGGAAGGAAGGAAGGAAGGAAGGAAGGAAGGAAGGAAGGAAGGAAGGGAGGGAGGGAGGGAGGGAGGGAGGGAGGGAGGGAGGGAGGGAGGGAGGGAGGGAGGGAGGGAGGGAAGGAAGGGGAGGAGGGAGGGAGGGAGGGAGGGAGGGAGGGAGGGAAGGAAGGAAGGGGAGGAGGGAGGGAGGGAGGGAGGGAGGGAGGGAGCTGATGTTTCACCATAGAGCCCTCCTTTGTACCCAAACTTCTCTTCCTTAGAGAAAACCTCACACCGCCTCTACTGCCACTTTGTCTATCCCCGGGAGTTTTGTCCTGTCCCTGCAACATGGATTCCATATCACTCCAGACCCGCAGTTCTTACACCAGGGGCACGTTAGGACCCTAAGAGTGTGCAGATTAGGGTGTGAGGCACCGAGTGGCTCTGTCACTATGCGAACATCATGGAATGTGATTTCTCTGCCTGTGCCTATGCCACCTGGGGTGAGGGCGGGGCGGCGGACCTAATATGACCAGCAGTGCTGCATGTGGCCCAGAACATTAAGCGATGCAGAACCACAACTGGAGTTTCCTGATGGGTTTCTGCCACTCACATTAGTGAGATTTTCCTAACTGCTGGGGCTTCATGGAAGGAGAGTGGAAAGGGGGAGGCGTGAGTTCAAGGGAGATGCAGCTGGGGCAGCCCTTACCTGGCAGCTGTTGTACCTATACCCCACCTGTGCTGTATCCCCCTCTCAGATGGCGGATTCCCCATTCGGGCGGTCTACTTTCCCCTGTACCCTTTCCAATAACGGAAATTAGAGTGGATTGGACTTTTTTAGGGAGGATTTCATTTAGGGGCTGCACCTGGTGGTGTTCAGGACCTTTTTCCGATTTGGTGTTCAACAGTTTGCCCTGTCAGGACTGCGCAGTGCTGGGAATTGTCACACCAGGGTTTATTCTCTCTCTCTCTCTCTCTCTCTCTCTCTCTCTCTCTCTCTCTCTCTCTCTCATTTATTTATTTATTTATTTAGGTTTTCGAGTCACACCCAGATGAGCTCAGGGCTTATTCTTGGAGGTGCTCAGGGGACCATATGGGATGCTGGGGATTGAACCCAGGTCAGCCACATGCAAGGCAAAGGTCCTTCCCACCACTGTCCCATCTCCCTGGCCCACCCCCCACCCCCCATCCCAGGGTTTCTACATACCGAGCCCAAGTTCCCGTCCTCTCAGCTCTCCCCATGGTCCTTGTGCTTAAATGTCTTCAAAATCTGCTTTTTTTAAAAAAAATTTTTATTATTTCTGGGCTCTACATCGTAGTTAGAAATGCCATCTTCACATACATTCATACAAATGTTTACCCATATTTCCTTCAAGTAACACTTAAAGGAATATTTTACATGTAAACATTTGCCCCATCTGGAATTTATTTTGAAGTAGAGTTAGGTATGGATCCAGCTTTGCATTTTTTCCAAATGTCTAGCCAATTGTCTCGGCACCATTTATTGAATAATCCATTTTTCCTCACTATTAGCAGTGACTCATCGGTCCTATGTATTTGGATCTATTTCTGGCCCCCGTGGTCTGGTCACTTATCTCTTCCCGTTCCTTGGCCAGAACTGCTCTCAGCTCATTCCTGCGGCTCGACTGTGGATTTCAGTGTCTGGAAGGCCAACCCTCGGGCTTCTTTTACTACTGGATTTTCCTGGCTGCTCTTATGTGCTTATCCTTCCAGATAAATTTTAGTGTTGTTTCAACTTCCAAAATCCATAATACTATAAAGTTTCCAGGGTTAACGTCACACCTTTACATGTATAATACTCATCCCTCCTACCACCAAAGTTATTTCATTGCCCAAAAAGGCAATCTTTTTTTCCTATTTACTGATTTTCTACTTACTCATTTCCTATTACTATACATTTATTTTTATTTTATTTTTTGCTTTTGTAAGTACTGTGCTTTATAATACTGTTAATGATGGATTTATGTGTATGTGGTTCCAGCATCACACCCATCACCAGAGAACCTATTTCTCTCCATCGTGGTCCCAGAGCCCCTCCTTCTAATCCTCCTTCCCCTACCACATCACACACACTCAGTTCTGTGGACCAACTCTCCAATTCTGTGCCTTTAGATCTTTGTTGCTCCCTTACTGTGTATAGGTCAATCCCACATATGAGAGAGCTCATTCTGCCTCTATCTCTGTCCTTCTGACTCACTCCACTCAGCATGATATCCTCAAGTTCTATCCATGTTGCCATGTCACAGCAAATTGCATGATGTTGTCCTTTCTTCACAACTGCATAGTACTCCATTGTGTTTATATACCAAACTTCCTCTGTTCATCCATAGTTGAGCATTTCGGTTGTTCCCACATTTGGGCTATTATACTAAGGGTTGTGTTGAACATGAGTATGCAAACATCCTTTTGAATTAACGTTTTTGTGTTTTGGTGATAGACACCTACAAGTGAAATAGTTGGATATCCTATGGGAGTTTCATTCCCATTTATTTTCAAAGATCTCCATACTGCTTCCCAGAGAGGTTGAACTAGAGGACATTCCTACCACCAGTGGATGCAGGTTCTTTTCTCACCATCACCCCACCCAAACTAGCTGCTTCCAGACTTTTTTGATATATACTGTGTCACTGTGTGAAATCACATCTCCTTACTGTTTTGAATTGCATTTCCCTAATCATAAGTGATGACAAGCACTTTCTCATATGCCTATTGACCATCTGTATGTCTTTCTTGGGGAAGTGGCTGTCTTTCCTCCCTGTTTTTGTATGGAGGTGTTGAGGATTTTTTTTTGTCATTGAGCTTTGTGAGTAAATAAAGTCCCTCTTTTCTATCGTTGTTCTTGTGCCTTTTCAAGGACAACACCTTTGTACCCCAGCGAAGGGAAGGAAATGAAACAGTTGTGCACTTGTATGCATGTAAGCATAGAGTTGTTACCCAAACCTGATGTTTCTCCAGATTGTACAAAAAATAAAATCACATACTTTATGTAAGAAAAAAAGTATGCACAAAAAATAGTCATATACATGTAAAGTCATATACCTTATGTATAGTATGTATAAGAACACATTCTATAATGTCAATTAACTTATAACAGCCAGCTTTGAGTGTTGGCTAATAGATTTTTTGCCTCATTTTCATACCATGAACTGTTCCTTGTACATATATTGTCACTGTCCTTTCGTTGTTCATCGATTTTCTCGAGCGGGCCCAGTAACGTAACGTCTCCATTGGAGACAATGTTGTTACTGTGTCTGGCATATCGAATACGTCACGGGGAGCTTGCCAGGCTCTGCCATGCGGGCGAGATACTCTCGGTAGCTTGCCAGGCTCTCCGAGAGGGGCAGAGGAATCGAACTCGGGTGGGCCATGTTGGCTGCGTGCAAGGCAAACGCCCTACCGCTGTGCTATCACGACTATTCAGAAATTTTATAAAACAGAGTGAGAAAATATTGGTGGGAATGTAAGCTGGTTCAGCCTCTATGAAAAAGAGTTTGAAACTATCTCAAAATACTAAAAGTGGATCTCTCATCTGATCCAGCAAGTCTACTCTTAGAATCAATTCAAAGAATATGAAAACACTAATTTAATAATAATTTTAGAAGCTACTACTTGTACATATTCACACCTAAATTCATCGCAGCACTGGTTACAGTAGCTGAAACTGTCTAACAACTATTAGTTGGAGCAAGAGAAAAGAAAGCACAATAAGATAGGGGGTCCAGATTTAAGCTCTGCCTTCCTCAATAAACAGCGATCAAAGTCTTGGGGTCAAGTTTGGGAAAGACTGGTGTTTATGTGTTTGCAAAGGTAGCCTCTACCCAGATTTCAGAGCCCCCGCCATAAAGTCAATCTTTGATGTCAACCATCTCCCAAAGGCAAGTTTGGGGGATGCTAGATTTTTGCTGCCCTTCATCTCTGCCTTCATTGTAGGGTTTAACTTTCCAAGGACTCCTTTTAACACAGCCGGGCTGGCAGTACGGCAGCTTATGTGCCTGAGGAGCGTACAGCTTGACCTTTCCTGTCACTGGCTGCAAGGTTACAAATGACCCAGCACTGTGGATGGACAGCGATCCAAGGGCAGGCACAGAGACCCTCTGTGGATCTGTCAAAAGCCTTTCGTGGACGGTCACTGGCTCTGTAGGGCCTAGGCCAAATTCTTGCCCTCCCTAGGCCAAGCTTTCCGGGCAATCGCAACAAGACTGATAATTCTCATTTCTGAATCCTGGGATCTGGAGGTGATAGTCGTTAGTATCGGTGGGGCAGGCCTGGGGGATGGGGCACACACCTGGCTGTGCTCATACTCACTGGCACCATTGGGGTGGGCCTGAGGAGGAGGCCACACTTGGCTGTACTCAGGAGCCGCTCCTGGCTTTGCACTCAGAAGTGACCCTGGCAGTACTCAGGGGAGCGTGTGTGTTTCTGGGGATTGAACCCCCTGTATGATGTCTCTGGCCCCTCAGTGCCATCATTTAACATGCCAGCAAAATAGAACCACACCATAGAATAGAATAGGCCAGATGCCAAGGCGGGCTAGTGCCTGTTGGGAGATTGCTCCCTGCAGCCCTGATGAATTGCTGAACAAGGCAAAAGAATTGAGCCTCATCTGGTCATGGGACCTAAGAGAGGACTTGTTCATAATTAATCATTGCATCACAATACGCAGATATATGTGCGTGTGTACTTAGGCGTGTGTGTGTGTGTGTGTGTGTGTGTGTGTGTGTGTGTGTCATTCCATAAGCAAGCATTTTATCAGGGGATTTATCCTAAATTCTTCCCATACTAGGGAAAATGTACCACTGTTTCTCCTGGTTTGGGTTTCCCAAATTAAGTACAAGTTAAGAAAACAAAAACATTTTGAGAAATTTGTTTTTTTTTTTTCTTTCTGTTTTTCAGATCTCTCACACAAAGTTTTCTGCAGCTGAAGAGTGGAAGTAAGTGATTCAGATTTTTTTTTTAATAGTTGTTAGACTGAAAACTCAAAACCACCATCTGATGTATCAGTTTCCCAGGACGGAGAAGGTGGGTCGACAAGGCTGAGGTCCTCAGAGACGACAGCCCAGTCACAGCCCTGTGCACCCCCACTGAGCTGGGGCCCCATCCCTCACAATCGCGTCGTCAGCATTTCTTTTAGGAATATGATGCATCTGGTTTCCATTACATGATATTTCCCTTGTGTTCTGGTACCTACTGTGGGGCCATTAGGTCCTTACAAGGAAATGAAATAAATATGCAAAGTTCCCCCATGAGCATCAGTTCTGATTGTTTTCCTAATCAGAAGAGGAAGCATTTATTACATTTGTATTACATTACCCATTACGAAATTCAAAGTTTCCCTTATTTTAGAAATGTCTTCAGTATATATCAAGAAATGGATGAATAGCATACAGCATGTTTCCTTTTACATCCGCGTTACAGTCTTCTTTGATGATAATTTCACTCTTCCAGCTCATGGCCTAAGTGGAAAATCTAATTACATAGACTATTAGGTCAGTATTTTGGATTTAGGGCTGCAAAAACTGTATGTAAGCTCCTGAGCATTTTTTATTTCTCTTGACTTGCATTTCTTCAGCAGAATCACTGTATTTCATAAGCTTCTAAAATCATTCTTATTTTCTAAGCTCAGCTTCTTCCACCACGGAAGCTATATAGGTTTCAGCTTCTTGGTTTGACAAATGACTTTCACCAGGCTCTGCGGTGTCCTTTTGGCACATTGTCCAGCAGGGGGCGCTCCCGGGATTTGGATGGGCCTAAACTGAGCTGCCGGGGGTCCTTTTCAGCCTTCAAATGCTGCTGAAAAGTTGCATTCTTGAGTCCCAGAACATTACCTTTGCAGCTTCTTCTGACTTACAAACTAAATGCATGCCCTAACTAGTCAGAAGCAGAAATTTGGAGGAGTTTGTGACTGATGGCTCTGAGTGAGGGTGAGGATTGATTACATATTGGGGTTAGGGCCACACCCAGTGGCCCCTGTGGGGCTCCTCCCGGCTCAGGGCAGTGCTTGGGGATCCTGCTGTGTCAGGGATGGAACTCAGGGCACCCCTACACAAAGTCAGCGTCCAGCCTTCTAAGTTGTCTCCCCAGCCGTGATCATTACTTACAAGTCATTCACAGTGTTTGTCATTTCCAACCCTTTTCCTTTGTCTTGACTCTGGGTTCTTCTTGCTTGTTATTCACAATCTTGGCCTATTTTAAAATCACATCCGAGGCTACCTGGCCCCCCCCCCCTCCTGGAAACCTGCTCTTGTCTGGTAGAGCAGACGTTGCAGCGCACGCCTCGTGGGGAGACTCAATCACCGACGTTCATTTCCTCCTAACTGATGAGGTGAGAGAATCCAGTTGTCGTAGGTTCTTCTGAGGCCTCAATTCTTGGCCGCTTCCCCTCGTCCTTTCGTGGGCTTCCTCTGTGTCTAGAGCTGAGTTTCTGGTCAGAAAAATTAGGGGCCTGCCAATAGCCCCCATTTTACCCCTTTAAAGCTTCTAAGCTCTTAGGGCTGGAACGGTAGCACAGTGGGTAGGGCATTTGCCTTGTACACGGCCAACCCGGGTTCAATTCCCGGCATTCCATACGGTCCCCCAAGCACTGTCAGGAGTAATTCCTGAGTGCAGAGAGTGCAGAGCCAGGAGTAACCCCTGAGCATCTCTGGGTATGACCCAAAAAGAAAAAAATAAAAAGCACTTCTAGCTCCAAAGACTCGAAAGAAAAGACAAAGGGACAGAGAGAGAGAGAGAGAGAGAGAGAGACAGAGAGACAGAGAGAGACAGAGAGACAGAGAGAGAGAGACAGAGACAGAGACAGAGAGACAGAGAGAGCATTGAGGCTCTCGCCTCGCTCCCCAGCCCATCACCCCCAGGAGTGACACCTGAACGCAAAGCCAGAAATATCCCCTGAGCACTACTATTACATGTTGAACCAAAAACCAAAAAAATCAAATAAAAAAAACGAAGTCTTCTAGTTCCACATGTACTTCCTGAGGTCCTTTAGTCTATGAGTCTGTGGAGATTAAAAACTCAACCTTTATGGCAGTGACTGTGCCATGGGTCTGGGCCACCACTTGGATTCTGAACCTGTCCAGGATTCCCGCTGGCAGCAACTCAGGAGCCCGGTGCCAGGCTGCCTCTGCACATCCGCAGTGGAAGCCCGAACCTACATGATGAGGCTCTTCTCACACTGCACAGAACTAAGAGTCCAGCAGACGCAGAAGCCCTGGCCACCCTTTGAATGTTCACGCCTGTCACTGGTCATGCGGAGTTGTCTTCCTCCTTATAATAGAAACAATTCGTACAACTCACTCAAGGGTTTTCCTTAGTTCCATGAATGGGATCTCTGCCGGTGCCATCTTTAGGATATCCCATATCTGAGAGAGATCATTGTTGTGTCTGACGGGCTTCACTCAGCAGAACTTTCAGGTCGACCCACGTAGCAGCAAATTGCCGGATTCCATCTCCTCTCACAGCCCAGTAGTACTCCCTGGCGTGTATGTGCCACGGTCTCTTTGCCCAGCCTTCCACTCTCAGACACTTTGGGTTGTTTTCCGAACACGGCTGCTGTGAGCAGTTGCTGAAAGCATCGTGGCAGTGTTTCTGGTGCTTGTTTGTTTTGCTTCGTTGTGTTTATTCTCTGGACGCACGCTCTAGAGGACTTGCTCAGATGCCCTCATGTTCCGGTTCCAGCCCGCAGCAGGAGCAGATGGACACGACGCACCGCGGCCACGAGTCCATGCACGTGGAGATGATCCTGATCTTCCTCTGCGCCCTGGTCCTCGCGCAGGTGGTGCTGGTGCAGTGGAGACAAAGGCACTGCAGGTCCTACAACGTGAGTCACCGCTGGGTGGGTGGGCATGGGGCCCAGGCTGCGCTGGATGCTGCTTCTCTCACCAGGTCCCTCCTTCACTACCACTTTGTGGTTTTTTTTTTAACTTGGTATATGTATTTATTATAATTATCACAATCAGTTTAACATATATCCCCTCAAAGAGTTATAATTTTTATCATGTATTTAGAACTTCCAATGTCTACTTCTTCTACAATTTTATTTTTTTATTTTTATTTATTTTTTAAATTTTTATTAGTGAGACACCATGAGGTACAGTTGTAGACTTACAAATTTTTGTGCTTGGGTTTCAGTTATACAATGATCGAGTACCCATCCCACCACCAGTGCCCATTCTCCACCCCGACGAGTCCCAGTATCCCTCCCACCCCCCATCCCCCCATCCCACCCCCCCTCTGTAGCAGGGCATTCCCTTTGGTTCTCTCTCTCCTTTTGGGTGTTGTGGTTTGCAAAAGAGGCATTGAGTGACAAACATGCTTGGTCTATAGTCTACTTTCAGCATGCTTCTCCCATCCTGGGAGGATCCTTCCAACACCCTTTATTTGGTGCTCCCTTCTCTATCTGAGTTGCCTTTTGCCCTAGCATGTGCTTTACTACCACTTTGGAGTAAATGGTTTGCTTAGGTCTGTAGCCCTCAATTGGATGTCATTTTGCAGCCAGACACACTTGGGGACATTTCAAGGCATAGATACTGATGTCTAGTGTGCAATGGTGGAGGGATGGGTGTTCGATCATTGTGTGACTGAAACTCAAGCATGAGAGCTTTGTAACTGTAGCTCACAGTGATTCAATTTTTAAAAAAGAAAGAAAGAAAGTGCCCCATGGGACTCAGCACACCCCCCCACTGGGTCCCAGTGCTCTGTCACCTTTTTTGGCCTCCGAGGTAGCTTCAGCTGATGGAATCTGACCTTGTTGAAGAAGTAGCTTCTGTGTTAATCTCGAGGAGCCAAGCGGTGGGGTGGGGTGTCATTTTGTCATGGAGAATGCTGAGGGCCAGGGGCCCCTTGAAGCGATTGCTGCCGCTACATGGTCTCACTCTAATGACCTAGGGGACCCCCCCTACCTGCTGAGCGAGGTCACTGTTGACAGCTGGAGGCCTCTGCCAACCTGCTTCCCTTTGCCCTTCATACGCTGTGCTGCCATCACAACCCTCCAGAGCCGTTGATTTTACTGCTCAAACCGCCCACCCCACCCTCACCGGATTCCAAGTCGCTCCCTGCTGCTCCCTGGGGTCACTGCTCCTGCAGCAAATCCCCCAGTCACTCTACTGAACAGCGGCCCAAGGGCAGTGGCCCGAGGCAGCCCTTGGAAGTGAGTGTGAGGCTGTGTCAGAGCTTTCTTCGGGGAAGTCTGCAGGACATTGGCACCAGGCCAGGAGCTGGAAGAGGCCTTGTCTGTGGCCAGGGACTGAGTGGAGTCTCAGGGTGGCCCTTGGGTGCTCTGCAGGTGGCTCACAGACTCCACGGCCTTAAGAATGCTTCAGGGGTTGGAGAAATAGCACAGTGGGTAGGGCATTTGCCTTGCAAGCGGCCCACCCGGGTTCGATTCCCAGCATCCCATATGATCCCCTGAGTACAGAGCCAGGAGTAACCCCTCCTGTGCATTGCCAGGTGTGACCCAAAAAAAAAAGGAATACTTCAGATAGTTCCCACTCATATGCCAAACACAGTAACAACAAGTCTCAAGATGGAGATGTTACTGGGACCTCTCAAGCAAATCAATGAACAATGGGAGGACAGTGACAGTGACAGTGACAGTTGGCCCATCTGGGCATCGATGATGATCTCTGTCCCAAAGAGCAGGAGCTTGAGCCCTCCTCCCCATAGCCTCTGCTGACATTCTTTGGCTCGAGGTGAGACTAGTGGTTCGGCTAGGCCTTCCCACCCTGCTGCTCCCTCTGTGGGCTTCACCGCCTGAGCCAGGCACCAGCACACAGGGACCTCTAGGCATCCCGGGAACCCTAGGGATATCTGCGACCAGAGCTGGATGCGGGCCAGAGCATCCACTGCCGACTCCGTTGGTTTCTCGCTTCCTCTTGGCAATCTGCACGAACTGTCTCAGAAACCCCATGGACTTCCTGCCCCACTCCACTTCGTGTCCCGGGCTGGAATTTGATGGACAGGTTTCCACAGAGAGTCACCTAAACCGTCCTATCATCCAGCAAGAGCTTCACTGGAATTTTTTTCTCTTGGCATCTAAGATTATATGGGAACTACCAGAGTTCAGACTCATCTGTACACATTAGTTGGGGCTGCAGAAATAGTGGAGTGATAAGGCACTTGTTGACCCAGGTTTGATTCCCAGCACCCTAGATGGCTCCCCAAACACCTTCTGGGGTGATCGGAGACATCCCGGAGCACAGAGCAAAGAATAAGCCTTGAGCTGTTTTGGGTGTGACCCCCTGCCTCTCCTCCCAGACAGAAAATTTAGAAAATTGCTTTCTATAGGAGAGTCATATAGAAAATTTTATTTCTATTATTTAGTGTTATAAACTCTAACAGTAGTAACATCACATATCTATAATGTTAATTATAATCACGAGAGCAAGTTACGATTAAAATTACAATACTAATACTAACCCTAACCATAATGTTTGTAAAGTAAAGTAAAGTAAAGGCCCTCCCGTTGATCGTCGATTTGCTCGAGCGGGCCCAGTAACGTCTCCATTGGAGACTTTGTTGTTACTGTGTCTGGCATATCAAATACTCTCGGTAGCTTGCCGGGCTCTCCAAGAGGGGCGGAGGAATCGAACTCGGGTCGGCCATGTTGGCTGCGTGCAAGGCAGACGCCCTACCCGCTGTGCTATTGCTCCAGCCCATAATGTTTGTAGCTACATGTATTAATTCTGTTATTATAGTTGTCATAAGTGCTTTTTGCACATTATTTAAAATACTCTGGAGGTAATTATGTCTTCCCATTGTAAATATAGTTCAGAGGGATTAAATAACTTCATAAATAATACAGAGATTCTAGAATCCTTCCTCATTAGCCATTTTTTCTTATATCAAGGGTAAGGATAAACTCCAGCAGTAGAACAGAACCGTGGTTTCCTTAGCTGCAAATGGAAATACTGCAGCAGGAATTTATTGCCTAACATTGCCACAATTCAGAAATGTCTCCTTGTCTGGAGTGAGACAGTACAGCAGGCAGGGCACTTGCCTGGCATGTGGCTGACCTGGTTTCAATCCACGACATTCCACATGGTCTCCTGAGCACCACCAGGAGTGATTCCTGAGTGCAGAGTGAGTAGTTGGTTCAGGATATACTCAAGAGATAGTGCAGGGGCTGGAGAGATAGCACAGTGGGTAGGGTGTTTGCCTTGCATGCGGCCGACCCGGGTTCGATTCCCAGCATCCCATATGGTCCCCTGACCACCACCAGGAGTGACTCCTGAGTGCAGAACCAGGAGTAACCCCTGTGCATCGCCAGGTGTGACCCAAAAAGCAAAAAAAAAAAGGAGCGCTTATATATAATATTCATGCAATGTAATTGTACAGATTCTTATGTAATAAAATAAAGTAAGTATAAAATAAAAATGTATGATTACATAGAACAACAAGGATTATGAAACTCAACACTCTGGTTCTCCTCTTATGCTCACTACCTCTAATATCTTGTACATACACAGTCTGGGTTTGATCCCCGTCACTGCAAAAATTACCAAATATACAGACAAAAATAACAAAACCCCACTCACTTCCTGGACAAAGAAGCTCCTTTCATGCTCTCTTCTGTAATGATCATTCCTTATCTGGCAGGAATATCGCATTTCTATAGAATACATTCACAGTACGATTAAGTAGAAATTATCCCAAATCGGGAAGTAGAAATTATCGGGCTGGAGCGATAGCACAGCGGGTAGGGCGTTCGCCTTACAAGCGGCCAACATGGCCGACCTGAGTTCGATTCCTCCGCCCCTCTCGGAGAGCCCGGCAAGCTACCGAGAGTATTGGATATGCCAGACACAGTAACAACAAAGTCTCCAATGGAGACGTTACTGGGCCCGCTTGAGCAAATCGATGATCAACGGGAGGGCCTTTACCTTTACCTTTTAATTTCTGTCAAAAGCAGTTCCCTAATGAACGACTCCTTTCCTTAATGCTTTCCCAGAGCAAATGTGACTATTCAGTCATTAATCTACAACTCAGTTGACGAAGCCAGGTGAGATAGGGAAAGAAAGACGAGCTGGGGGTTTAGACGGCTCTGCCTGGGACCAAGAGATGTTTCAGCAGTGTGAGCTGAATTCACACATATGGCGTGTGGAAGATTCGATTCAATCCCTGCCACTGTCTGGTCCTCTGAGCACTGCTAGGGGCAAACCCGAGCATAGAGCAGCAGGTCCTCGAGCACCGCCCACTAAAGCGCTGAAATAAAAAACAAATTCAGTGAACCAGAGCGAGCCTTCACTTCCTGATCTTTCAATGAATGACACTTTCAAAGTAAGGACTTCCAGTTTCTGGCCCACTAAACAGCTTCAAAGACCTCCACCCCTATCTTACAATTTTAAAAAAGCCAAACTAAATATCAGTAACGTTCTTTGGCCCTGTCAGAGAACTGAAGTTGATGGACAAATTGCTACCCCAGTCTGGAAAGTCAAAAGAATGACAGGGAGATCTGTAACTGGGACAGAGGCTGGCAAAGGTGGAAATGGGGAGAAACATTCAACGTTAATCAATTTCGGAGTTTACACTCCACAAGAGAAGAAACCTGGGGGCTAGAGCAATAGCACAGCAGGGTAGGGTGTTTGCCTTCCATGTGGAGGACCTCAGTTCTATCCGGGCATCCCATAGGGTCCCCCAAGCACCGCCAGGAGTAATTCCTGAGTGCAGAGCCAGGAGTAACCCCTGTGCATTGCTGGGTGTGACCCAAAAAGAAAAGAGAGAGAAAAAAAGAGAGAGAGAGAGAATAAAATGGTGTTGTGAAGGTACCAAACAATTTCACTAGACTTGGGGACCACTGCTTGTGTGAGGGTCTGGAAGAGC